GGTGGGGAACACCTCAGCTACTGTGCCGCAATACACAGAAAAAGGGAGCAAAAAAGAATGCTACTGGTGCAAGCCGGCTGAGCTACCGGTAACGGATGGGCATCGTTCCGGTAAGCTGCCAGCCGGCTACTGTGCATCAAAAAAATACTATGCGAAATTATATACGGCTAAATAATGAGATCGTGGTTGGAGGGGGAGGCTAAGAGGGATGGGGTGGGACAAAGAAACTCACAGAACGAACGCCAATGAGGTCGGCTCCTTGCCATATCAGCAAGTGTATCCAGCCAAACGTGTTCATCGTCTTTCGGACCCCAACCAGGAAGCCGAGACGCTCCAACCGAGGCCAGCTCAGAAGTGAGGGCTTTCATTCCTCTCGACCAAGTCATCGCTTGACCACCCCTCCTCTTCTTCCATCCCACACCCCCGGCGCGCAAACAACGCACGTCGCGGGAGTCGGTGGGCTGGCATGCGTAACACGTGGCCGAGCCATCGGAGCCTGGTGCGTGAAATGACGGTGCTGAGCGGTTCATTTCCTTTTCCTGTGCCGTAAACAAGGCGTCGAACATGCTCGTTGCTCACGCGGTGTTCCCACCAGATGTGAGCTAAATTGCGAATGCACCGGTGGTCGAACGGCTACTGAACACCACTCATGAGGAAAAGAGGGTTACGGGCACAGCCTCCATGGATAGATAGGTACCACAGGAAAGTACCTAATCAAGAAACGGTCTAGATGCTGGTGAACCTACCAAGCAGCTCCATCAGCCAGTACCTACGATAGTTATCGAGAGATTAGAAATATATGTAAGCAACATCTTAGAACTGGTCCTTTTCAGTACGAGTAGGGTTTAGCGGACTCTTCCGCAGCTAATCCCAAGAAGCTTTTTGCTTACGTTAAAAGACGCAGTGGGGCAAAGCTATCTATAATAGCATTATTGCGAGCAGACGGGACCCGTGCGCAAACCGACTATGACAAGGCTTGTACACTTAGTGATCAGTATACTGGGGTCTTTGCTCAGACCTCTTTACCACAGGTGGTAGTGGCTTCAAGCGTTCCAGAGGATTCGTTCTTAGCTGAGTTTAACATAACGGAGACTCGGGCCTTCGAAGTACTGCAAGAAATTAATCCATCTAAAGCTTCCGGTGCTGATTCAATTCATCCGACGCTGTTGCATGAATTGGCCACTGAGCTTAGTGGTCCTCTCACATGCGTGTTTTCATTATCGCTGGACCGCTACATCCTACTTTCGGAATGGAAGGAGGTAATCATCTGTCCGATTTTTAAGGGCGGTGACAGCGCTCTGCTCGCGAATTACAAGCCTGTCAGTTTGACAAGCGTAGTATTCAAGTTATTTGAAAAGCTAATAAGGGATTCAGTGAGGAATCACCTGAATAGATTCAACCTTCTCAGTGTTGCGCAACATGGATTCCGCAAGGGATTTTCATGTCAGACTAATCTACTTGTAGCTCGTGAAAGCTGTGCCGAGGCGGTAGACAGTGGCCACGGTGTAGAGGTGCTATTCGTGGACTTTATGGAAGCTTTTGAGACCGTTCCACATCTTCGACTCTCACTAAAGCTGACCTTACGGGATATCTGGTCGTGCCCTGATAAGAGTGTCTGCCTTCCTTGACGGGAAGGAACAGTGCGTACGGGTGGGGCGTAGTTTTTCGCTCATGCAAGCTGTCCTTAGTGGCGTCCCGCAGGGCTCGGTATTGGGGCCATTGTTGTTCGCGATCTATGTAAATGACTTTCCGGGAGAACTAGGTGTCATCACTAGTGTTTGCTGAGGATCTTAAGCTCTGGAATATTTTGGATATCCCGGGGGTCCTGAAGCAATTCAGCATGCCTTGGATAGCTCTGGATGTTCTACCTTAGGTTGATGCCTAATAGGCCAAGTGCTCTGTTCTCGAATCGAGCTGTATCCTCCCACCGAATGTTGTCGCGGTGGGGAATCCTGTTGTCACTCAAGCTTTACATCCAGCACATTTGGAAAGGAAGCTGCTTGTCGGGGTTCGTATGATGTGGTTTATCCGCCGTCTTTCGGAATCCTAACGGCAATTTGTTGTGAAGCTATTCTCCTTCGTCCAGACCCCACTGGAATAATATCCAGCTTGTCCACCATGTTTAGAGACAAAATGGACTTGTGTTACGAGTGGGCACTCGAGGTTAGGTGCAGGGGTCGTACGGGGACAGACGTTTCCTTGAAACGCTTGCCAGTTTTGGGATGTACTCATGCACTACCGAAGGATAAGAGGGGACCTGATTCTCACTTATCATATTTTGACTGTAAGATCGACCTGGATTTGTCAGGGCTTTTTAGTCCCGCTACGTTACCTAATCTCCGTGGTCACCCACTGAAACTGCATAAACCACGGTCTGATAGGATTAGGACGGAAACTCGTCTGTCGCGCCGATGTATAGATCGCTGGAATTCGCTTCCAGATCATGTGGTTAGGGAACCTACAATTAAGGGTTTTGCACGCTAGCTCGATGCACTTGGGTGGTAACACCAAACCTTTCCTTTTTCCTCACTGAGTCACCTTCGTTTTTCAGCTCTTTTTAATGACCCAAATATCTTGGTATTCTACTTGCTTAGCTCTTTCCACTTTCTCTTTTGCCATCTGAGTTCACTTTGTTCTCTTTCTAACTTCACGTAACCGGCCCAGCAGAAGCTGCTAGGGCAGAATACGTGGGCATTAATTAGTTGGACAGAGTCTGATGCGGTGGTTGTTTTAGGTCCATCAGTATTTCAAAGTTCGACAAATTCAGGTTTAACGACCAGCTGAAGAAGGAACACTCACGGGATAATCCTATCGCTCCAGTACCGCTTGAACTTGAAGGCGAATGAGCTACTCGGATGTCAACGATCTCCGTTAATCGTCCGGCTGCCATGCGGGTCAGGGTTTTATGACCAAAGGCTCGGAGTGGGGTCCTTTACGTCAACCGTCTTCCTTGGTATGGGCAACCGGGAAGATCCCTGCCCGCACAACACAGTAACCATGTAAAGCTTTCCACTGTCTACCTGTTTTCCCCTTGTTGGTGTTGCTGTTGTTAACTGTGTCGTGACACAGCCACATTATATTGGTCATGTGTGGAATAATAATAATAATATAATAAATATTAGACAGGAACGATGCGCGTAATCGAGTGCAGATATCAGAAGGCAAATGAAGTCAGACACAGCGATTATATTCGATGGGCTACAAAAAGGCGTGTGTTACGGATTGGGAATCGCTACGGGTGATCGTTCGGTGGACATAAGACAGGAGCAAATGTTAGCGTGGAGAGTTACGGAGCAGACGAGTGTCGAGCCGGATGTAAGATTAAAACAAGAAAGATTAATGAAAAATCGGGCACCAAAGAAATTGTACATAAAAGGTGGTATTTAGGTTTTGGGGCGCTATAGAGTTCCCCATTAGAAGGCTGAACAAACGAAGCCTTGGATGACAAAAATGATGGATAAATCGAGGCTCATAGGGCAAAATTGCGCCTAGTAAAAATGAGTGAGTGTCAAATGGGGGTTCGCCGTTTTCTATTTATTACTTATCGATTGCAGGGCAGGGAGCGCTTCAGCGGGCCGTTGGAGCGGGCTTGTCGTACTTCAAACAACTGGCTAACACAGAAGGGCTGACAGGACCTTAAGCTCGGCCGCTACCAAACGGTGTGTCTGTGTGTAGCCACCTCCTCGCCACACCCTGCCCCGTACCAAAACGACCCGCGTTCGCGTCCAGATCGCCGTTGACTGCAGGGCTTTCTCGTGAGGGCCAGCCGATCGAAGGGGAAGGTTAGGGCATGTAGAGACGAGAAAACATAAAAAGGTAGAACACGCCAAAAAGAACAAGCGAATGACTTGCTTGCAAAAACGTTTTGAATGTTTGGTTCTGGATTACTTTTAAAAGGATTTTCGGGAGTTGTTGATTTTTGTTTTCAAAAGGTTAATCTACCAAAAACTGGGCAAATACAATATCTACAAACCTAAACGCATTTACACTGTATATATTCGAAAAAAACGAAAAGATTTACGAGCCTCCCGACCACGACGGTTGATTTAGAGGCGACAGGCTAGGTTCGGAAGATGTCGGGAAGTCTAGTGCTTGTAAACCTGGTTCGTCATCTGACTCGATGACACTAGGATGCTGAAAATTGGTGCAGTTAATTGGAACGTCACATGAAGCATTGTTAGACGGTGGAGACGAAGTGGTGTGCTTCATAAAGGCTGATTTTAGCCGGTCGATGGTGACGGTTTTGCGTCGGCAACCGCGATCGATCGTAAATATCTTACTTGTTCAACTGATTACTTCGAAGGATCCGATGTACGGCGACTGCAAAGGCTGTCGCACACCGTCTACGCGAAGTAGTACGTGAGAGCGAATAGACAGCTTTCCAGGCATGTACACCGCTGTATTCTGCAAACTTGAAGCGGGCGCGCGCAGCTCACGTATCTGGCGAGCCAACCGATCGATGTAACTTCCACAGTCGAAAGATGAAGTGAATGACGCTGGTGCTACCAGATGTCCGGCAGACGTAGCGTGCAACCGTAGACTAGCTGCGCTGGTGCTGCGTCGAAGTCAGTTTTAACGATGTTCATAGGGCCTAGGTGGACAAGAGGAAGTTTCACACAATAAAGGATCTGCGTGCGCTCGGAGCGCTGCCTACAGTTGGCGATGAAATCGTTCTACCATGCCGATAGCGGTCACATGATACACCGTCGTCTGGACGTGGCGGCAACCCAAATCCTTAAGCAAGGTGGCAAAAGTAGACGAGAAATGTGACTCTCGCTCAGTGGTTATGATGGCGGGACAGCCGTACTGAGCTACCCAGCACTACAGAAAACCTTTCGCTACCGTTTTCGAATAGCATTTAGGTAGGGGAATAGCTTCAGGCCACCTAGTGAATCGACTGACACAGGTCAGTAAATATACAGAGCCTTTCGAAGACAGCAGAGGACCTACGAGGTCGACATGCACGTGATGAAAAAGTGCATCTGATGTTGGAAACTTACCTAATGGACTGCTCGTGTGCTTTAGCACCTTCGCACGTTGACACGGAAGGCAAGCAGCTGCTCAAGTATCAACGTCACGAGAATGCATTTGAGCAATACGTCAATGTACCGACCAGAAGTCGCATCCGGAGTGCCCTCTCCACGTTGGATGTTGTGATCACCAAACATAGTCGAATGGCAGAGCTGCAAGTGGTAGCACCTATAGGTAGATCATTGCACCCTCACCTCGTTAAACACACCGAAACTTGCAAAGATACCTGGACTCGCGAAAAGCTTCAGTCGAATTGACTACAAGTAACTGAGGGACATGGCCCTCGAGGTCAAATGGATTCCTGACCACGAACAGCCATCATTGGGACAGAGGTGGTTACTGCTTAAAACTGACCTTGAGCAACTACCGAACGAGTTTGCTCCTATTCGTCCTGTAAGGCAATGCGGTAAGCCTCGGTAGTGGACGAGAATCGATAGAGCACTAAAGAGGCGTAATGAAAAGTGGAAAAGATTCCATGAATCAAAAGGTTTCGACGATGGTTGCAGTACGCAAAATGCCGGAATACGGCTATCAAATGATGATAATAGTAGATTAAGTACTCATATGCGAAAACAAATCCAAAATGGTACTACAGCTGTGTCCAGTCTAGAGCCTCCCTAAGAGAGGAAGTTGGTTGTCTAACCATGGAAGATGGCAGTCAGGCTGTAGAAGCCGGGGATAAAGCGGAAGTGCTGCTACGGGTCTTACAGAATCTGCATAGGAGATGTACTGGATGTGTTGCACCATCGCAGCCACACTGTGTAAGCAGTCATACAATGCAGGACACGGTTCTGACTGCATAAGAGGTCTTCACAGTAATGGCTAACCTGAACCCCATTAAATCACCCGGTCCCGATAATGTACATCCAGTAATAGTCAGGCCCCAGCTGTCGTTCTTCAGCATCCTGTTGTGGAACCATTCAAGTTTTCGCTTCAGGAATGCAAGTTACCATGAGAATGGAAGGAGGCAACCATGGTCGCGATCCACAAGGGTGGATGCAAATGGGGGCCTATTAACTATGGACCTGTCAGCGCAACCTGTTTCTTGCTCAAGTGCTTAGAAAAGCTTATAAGAAACCGGATTTACAAGCACATGGCGGAACATAATATAGTTAGAGCGGAACAGCATGGTTTCAGCAAAAATAAGTCGTGCCTCACTAAACTGCTGTGCATTCTAGATGAAATTACGCAGTCTTGATGACAGGATTCCGGTGGTGTACTTTTTCTACTTTAGTAAGGCTTTTGACACAGCAAACCACCATTTCTTACTTGAGAAATTGACATGGCTTGGACTGCATTCCAAGCTCCTGTCTTGGGTGTCGGAATTCCTATGTGGGAGGTTTCGAGTTAGAACCGAGGATGTGAATTCTCGTAAAGGCATCGCCTACAGTGGCGCTACCCAAAGATCGGCACTAGGTCCACTATTGTTTCTTATGTTTATAAACGACTTCGCCCCTCTTCTTGTAAACCGCTGCTACATTTTTGCAGATGACTTAAAGCTGGTCAGCAGGGGAAACGGAGCAACAATGACCAAAGATATTAACAGCGTGAGTAAGTGGTCGAAGCAATAGGATTTGCCTTTGAATGCCAACAAATGCCAATTATTGACCACTAGTACAGACGGGATTGCGGTGCAAACCTCCTGTGTCTTTCTCTATACACTGCACCAATCAGGCAGGCGATTTAGGAGTCGTCAAGGCTAGCAATTTTAATCCTTCGGGGAAATGTCGCAATGATGCTGGACCTTACCATGGTGCGATGGTTTGCTTGCTTCAGAGATCCATTGAGCTATATTGGGTGGTAATTTTCGCATCTTCAGAGCCACTCATACCAGATTGGTCAATGGTTAGAGACCAGACAAACTCCGCCTCCTGATCCTCCAGGTTGGGGATTGAAATGAGGGTGGCTCCTTATTCCTTATAACGGACTCCTTGTAGCCCACCGCCAAACCCGCTGCCTTGCGGTCAGGTTTTTGAACTAAAGGCTTTGGTTGAGAACCTCAATCGTTCTCCTGTCTAGGCATGGACAACCTGACAGTATTCTATCCACGAAATACGAAGAATTTTTCTTCAAACACCTCCCTGATACTCTGGTCGTCGCAGAGGATAATAAACGGCGCCCTATCTGCTGCATGGAGCAGGATGGATAGGGATTTGGTTGCTACTGCGCAAGCCTTCCCGTCTTCTTACCCCCCTCTTGCGATTTTTCACGCTTATAGTTCCGTTCCAACTTCACTTTTAGCCCCCAAGTTTCCAACCCCTGATTCTTGATCCTCCCCAAAATGCTTTGCTTGGCGTGTGTTTGTTAGTTTCAGCTCACATGCAAACGCAATGCGTCACTCCTGCCCTGTCGACAAGCACATGTCCAAATAAACGGTCCGCCCCACTCATCGGTTTCCATTCGGAGCCCTCGGTCATCCTTCAGATTGGCATGTCTCAATGTACGCACATTACTACACATTGGTCAACAGGAAGCACTTGCCCGAACTTTAGTGACCCTCTCTATCGATATCTGCTGCTTATCGGGGACCCGCCTGCAAGACTACGGCTCTGTGCTCACTCTGTCATCCTCTTCAGGTGACAGCAGCAGTATTTTCTCACTGCGCCTATCCGGTGACGATGCGTCTTCGATCACCGGCCAAGCTGGTGTTAGCATTGTCCTGAGTCCCCGGGCTGTAGCTACTCTAGTTGACTGGATCCCAATCAGTAGCCGGATGTGTGCCGTCCGATTGGCTGGCTCGTTCAGAGCTTCGAAGTCGTGCGGGACTAATACGTGTCTATTCATCACTGCTACCTAGGCGCCCACAAACTCTGGCGATGATACTGAAAAATACGACTTATCGCCAATTGATAAAGCTCCTGAGCCAGAGAAGAAGCACGAACACTACTGTGCTGACGGGAGATCTGAAGGTACAAGTTGGAAACTTGTTCACTGATGAACTGCATCTGGTCGGTCGACACGGTGTAGGCTACCGTAATGATAACAGCGAGCGGTGACGTTATTTATGTGGAGACGCCAGCTTATTTCTTGCGCGCACTAACATCCGACATAGCATCCGCCGGAAGGTGATTTGGTGCCCACCAGCCTCGAAGCAGCCTTGGACGGAAACCGATCATATGGTAATCAGTTACCTGGGCTGTCCTTTTGGATCCGCCCTCTCGCTCAGAAGTCAAATGTGAGTTTGCGCTGTTGAAGTTGAACAAATCCACGAGACCAGACGTTCTACTTTCAGGTTTCTTCAAATTTTGGGCCCTACCCTTGTTGAAGATTAAGCCGAATTACTAGTGAAACTGTGGGGGGAAGGAAACAGTCCCAACCGACTGGAGCCGCTCCGCGCTTCGCGTGCTTTTTCAACAGCAAGCACAAATGGAGGCACAAATCAAAATGATTGAAAATCTGACACAATGTTTGAGTTTGCAGACAACAGGAGCAGCGACACGGGACATGCAGGCGAGTTCTGTTGATCTTCTCACGAACGCCATCACTGAATTCAATTATGATGCGGATTCTGGATGCACTTTCGAAGCGTGGTTCAAGCGCTGGGAAGACATGTTCCAGACGGACTTCATTCGTCAGGACGACTCCTGGAAGGTGCGATTGCTACTCCGCAAGCTCGGAATAAGTGAACATTCAAGGTTCATAGACCACAATTTGCCCAAACAGCCGAAGGATCCGACTTCTGATGAAGCAGTGTCGCAACTGGAGGAAATTTTTGGTGAGTCGGTATCTTTGTTTAGTATTCGCTATCAATGTCTGAAAATTGTCAAACAGGAATCTGACGATTTTGTGGCCTTAGCAGACATGATTAACCGTGAGTGTGAACGTTTCAAACTACGCTCTTTAACTTACGATCAGTTTAATTGTCTCATTTTCGTCAGTGCTCTACAATCGCCCAGTGATGCTGAGATCCGAAAGCGACTTTCAGCTAAGCTGGAGCAGGACCCTGATCTGACACTGAAGGTCCTCGTAAGCGAATGCAAACGGCTTCTCACTCTAAAACACGACACTGCCATGGTCGAACGAAATGGTCTCGCACCAGCAGATACCGTGCAACTCGTGAAAAAGACCAGGACGGCCAACGCAAGCAAACCCTTCAAGAGGCCTACGAAGAAACCGCCCACAGCATGCTGGTCATGCGGCGAATGGCATTTCGCTCGCTTTTGTCCCTTCAAACATCATATTTATCAAACGTGTCATAAGCGTGAGCATAAAGAGGAATGCTGCAGTCAAGTCCGGCCGAAGAAAGTGCAGAAGTCTTATCGAAAGGGTACTTCTAGAAGGGACGGCGCTGAGTTTCTGTCCATAGTTGCCGCATTCCAAAGCGAATGTAAACCGAGACGACGATTCATCACTGTGTTAATCAATGGGATCCCAACGGAACTGCAATTTGACACGGCCTCGGACATCACGATTATTTCCAGGAGCACATGGAAGCACATAAAGAGGCCGAAGATGGTGGAGTCTAAGAAAGTTGCACATAATGCATCCGGCGGTGTGTTAAACTTAGTGGGCGAACTCAATTGCAAGATTGCCTTCCAAGGTGTGGAAAAGTCGGGAACATGCTACATTTCAGACCGGCCGAATTTGAATCTTCTTGGCCTCGACTGGATTTCAAAGTTGAATCTCCTCGATGTTCCTTTGAATCAAATCTGCAACCGAGTTCGAGCAAGTCTATACCCATCATCAAAGTCCGTCGAAGACATGACACGTACCCTGAAGCGCAAACTTGCTTCTGTCTTTCAGGATGGCTTGGGCCACGGTACGAAATTCAAGGCAACACTGAACTTGCGACCCGGTGCTAAACCAGTGTTCAAGACCAAAAGACTGGTACCATATGCAGCCATGTCAACCGTTGAGCAAGAGCTCGATCGACTGGAACGTGCCGGAGTCATCACAGCCGTCAACTACTCATCATGGGCCGCACCTATTGTCGCAGAGAAGAAAGCAAATGGCAAGGTACGCGTCTGCGCTGACCTCTCAACTGGCCTCAACGCCGCGCTAGACGACCACCAGTAACCCTTACCTGTACCGGAGGATATCTATGCAAAGTTGAATGGTGGTAAGTACTTTGCTAAGCTTGATCTATCCGATGCTTATCTGCAAGTGGATGCTGGTGAAGTCTCGAGGGAGTTGTTGACGATCAACACTAATCGGGGGCTATTCCAATACAACCGCTTGCCATTTGGTGTGAAAACGGCGCCAGCCATCTTCCAACAGTTGATGGACACCATGCTAGCGGGTGTTTCTGGAACCACTTCATATCCGGACGATATCATAGTGATGGGTCGAACACCGAAAGGACTCTTCAACCGCTTGGATGAAGTGCTTGGTTGCATACAGTCGTACGGTTTCCGGATCCGTGAGGATAAATGCACATTTTTCCCGCCGATCATCAAATACCTCGGTTTTAGCCTCGAGAAGGATGGACGTCGACCAGATCCGGAAAATATAGAAGCCATTAGAAAAATGCCTCCGCCAACAGATCTCCAATCCTTGCGTTCCTTTTGTGGGATCACCAGCCATTACAGCGCATTCTTGCCTGAGATGCACCGCCTGCGTGCCCCGTGAAACAAGCTATTAGCCAAAGGCCAAACATGGAACTGGACATCCGAATGCCAGAATGCCTTCGAACGCGTCAAGTCACTGCTGTCCTCAAACTTGATTTTGACTCATTTCGATACCTCCAAAGAGACTGTCTTGGCCACAGATGCATCAAGCCATGGGATTGGTGCAGTAATATCACACGCCTACGCCGATGGATCTCAGAAGGCAATCGCCCATGCCGCCAGAACACTTACGAAGGTCGAGAAGAATTACAGCCAGATTGAGAAAGAAGCATTGGCCATAATGTACGCAGTCAAGAAATTCCACAAAATGCTATACGGTCGCCGCTCCAAGCTTCTGACAGATCACAAGCCCTTGCTGGCTACCTTTGGTTCGAAAAAGGGCATTTCGGCCCACACAGCCAACCGGCT